TATCCTTAGGATTCATATAGAGTAACATAAGCATCTTTATAGCATCAGTAGTCTACTATCGTATAACATACACTTCAGGGAAGCCTGACTCCTGATGAAATGACTTTCAAACTTCTGAGGAAAGAGGATATTATAAATGAGCACATTCTAGACAGTTGTATTTTTGTGTGCATGAGGGTTTGTGTGTGTGTGTATGTGTATGCATGTGCGCATGCAGATGTGCATTTTCCTAACTGACCTATTCTATTGGTCTCAATGCACTGTTTGCAGAACTGTAGAGGACCAAACAACTGGATAGCGAAGAAGCTAAGAAGCTGTGAATTGCAACAGCTTCTGGTTTTCTAACTGCTGATGGAACCGAAAGAATACAAAGTTTTGTTAAAGGACAGTTTTTTTCCTCGATACCTTGCAAACTCGAAAGGAACTCTGAAAAGCCCCAGTGCTTGTAAATTAAAATCTATTTGAAACAAATCAAGGCTTTGTATTTTTGTTCCAAGATATGTTGCATGCCCAAGCCTTCCCTGCTGAAGGTTTCTATTAATTGAGCTCTCAGTCCAATAGTGGGCTCTCTGACTCTAGCCTTCACTTGTCTACCATAGCTGTGATGGTTAAAAGCTTCTCCGGTTTGTCACAGAGTTTAATATGCACCCTACATAATTATGCAGGATTCACTGTGCTATCAAACTGCAATTCAAATTAGTTCAGGATTAAAGGCACAGAACAGTACTGCTTCCTTAATTGCATTGTACTGTGCTGATCACATTCAAATACCCATTACTCATTCCCTCTGTGGAGCAATAAGTCAGGGGGATTAATATTCAGGCAGGTGACAGGGCCAAGCCATTAAAAGGCAGTTATGCAGAAAGCATGGCTGGTTTTATTCACGTTAATGAAATCAGTGAAATGAAACTGTAATAGATTTATCAAAGCTCAGATGGATTTGCTGTAAATCAGTTTGATTCAAGCAATCAAACTGGACAATAGAGATAGTTTTCAGCTATAGCAATGGGTGTCAGAAAGCAGCATGTGAAAAGTGCTGATATTCTTCATGTATGGATTTGATATCCACCTCGTGCACAGGCCTATTCCCAAACCACTGCTGCTAATTTTTTTTGTCTTTTGAACTAGGTGCCAGTGGCTGATAAAACATACAGCATATCATCTTAATACAGCACTTACACTGTTTTTACTCTTCATTTTTAAGTCCCCCAGAACATCAATTCTTTCCTATTGCTAGTTGGAAAAGAAAAGAAAAAAAAAAAAAAAAAGAAAGAAAGAAAGTTCGACAGAGCACAAATTAGCATTGCTGTCCCTCTACTGCTCAGAACAGGAATGAAACTTTGGCCAGGGTGACTACATGAATGGTACAGATGTCTCCTAAACCAGCACTTGTGCAAAGGGAAATGTGGTCAGATCACAATTTCCCAGAGTGATGGGCTGATGCAGGAACCCCGTGAAGCTGAAAATTTACTTTTGTTCTGGGTCTAATGAAATAATTTGGTATCCATTAGAGGGCAGCATAAGAACAAAAACTAAACACAGCAAGGGAGGTCTCCCCTGCAGATAGACAAGCACCTTTGCTGAGGTAAACTTTTTCAATTCAGTCATATTTTTCAAGTATTAAGCCGATGAATGGAGAAGGTAACTAAGGGAGAAGACAGAAACAGACCTTTCTTAGAGAAAAATGACCCCAGGATCGGTACATACCAATTTAGCTTTAGGGAGTTTTCTTTCTATACACTAACACCCTCCACATCTCACCTTCCCTTTAGGGTTGAAATAGAAATGCTCCTGACCTGAGCTTAATGACCTCGTGAGTATTTTGGAGATGGTGTTTTGTTTTGTTTTGTTTTTTGAGATGGTGTTTTTGATGGGATTCTAATAAGATATAAAATAGTAATCAAGCTTTTGTTTCTATAAAAAGTGCATCATGTATAGTAAGGTTATACTAAAACTACTCTAATTGGTCTAATTTTTAATTATTAGAAACAAATTGTTCAAGAACTAGAGCCAGTTTTTAATGATCCAAAACAGAAATAAATGTTCTAGTCTATTACCGTCCTATATGAAATAAATCAATATTAAAGCTAATTAACCCTTTTCAAAGGCATTTTGTCCCAGGTTTTTATTTAATGGTTCAGTGCTGCTTAAAGCATGGATCAAGCTGGATAAGCTCCATTTAAAAAATGGCCCATTTTGAAAACAGTTTAGCAGTTCACTATGACGAATATATTTATCAGGATAAACTTGACTTTTTCAATTATATAAATAACTGACCATGATTCCTTAAAAGATCTCACAACAAAACAGATGTAAGACAAGAGCCAAATCTAGTAACAGTATAACATAGTAGCTGATTTCATTCAGTGCATTTTAAAGATATTTTGTGAAATATTTTCAGTTTTTCACTTTTAAGAATATTCCTTATAGAGGTTGAAGAAGGGAAGTGGTCCCTGTATAAGTTCTTTCATTCCAGGTCATATGTGAACGCAAACCTATGATCTGTCCCTTTTGAAAGCAGCCATGATTTTTTTTATAGTGTTCAAACAACATAGTGCAAAGCCAAAACCTTTCAGGACATAAATGACTACTTTGACATATGAAACCCAATGAAAATTATATACATTATTTAAAGAATTCGATACTCTTCCCCTGTTGCTATACTAGCAATCACGGGATGTACTTTAAAATCAAGCTATTTTTGACTTATAAAATAGATGATATATTTTGTAAACGAATTAAATTCCTCACAGTACCAGAGGATTAATTTGTAACGTTATGAAATTTTGATTAGCCTGCTGTAAAATCAGAATTGTTTACCACAAGTGTCTGGATTCTGACTCTTATGGTCTTTCCAAACAGATAATGAAATGAACTGAAGCTGGTTGGGGGGGTGTGCAGGGTAATTTATGAAAACATACTACACCATAATTTTGCCATTTTTCTACAATAAGGATGGCAAATGATTTATGGGATAAAATGAAATATTTCTCACTGTCATTTCAATGGATCTAAGATTTACAGCTTCTTAACTTGGATAGGAAAAACTCTGTATGCATAAAAATGAATTGTAAATCAATTAATGATGGAGATGAAAAACAAAAAAAAAAAGATATTGAAGCAATGGTGAGAAAATCTAACTAGTAACACATAAAAGGGAAGAAGCAGAAACTATTTAAATGTCTTTAGAAAGGAAGGAGTTTGGACAGAGGAAAGCCCTTGCTTAAAATTCTATGAGTATAAAAAAATCACTCTGCAATTGAAGATTAAGTAAGATTATTTAGGAACCATGGTCAAAAGAAAAAAGTATTTAAAATATATATTTATAGATCTTTTTAAACCTCCCAACTCCTTGACACAGTGGAAGAAAGCTACTAGCAACCAATGAAGAAGAAAAGTGAGCCTGGTTCTATAGGAGCCACTGTACCTAGAAAATGAGCACAGGGATGCTCTGCTTAAGACACAACACAGTAGACATGAATGGCTCACAAGCTCATGTAACCAGCAGTACCACATGCCATGCTCTAATATCCAAGGCAAATTCTATGCAATCCAATCCTCCTATCTCTTTTCACAGAACATGATATATTACCTAAGCCTATAGAATACATCCATCCCTAACCTCCCTAAATTCAAGAACTCCAATGTGAATTTCTTCAGTAGGGTATGCTAAACAATTAAATTCCATGTCAAATGTAGAGAAAAAAAGATGGTACTGATAATTCTGCTAAAGCAGTATTTTGCTTAGATCATGTGAATCTTATTATTCTGGACCAGGTATCAAGCAAAATATAAAGATATCTATTGATTTTTGCAAAAGGCCCGCAGCCTTCTTAGCACAAGACCTGCAGGACTGTCTGGGTATCATCAAGGTTCACATACATCATGTTCTCTGCCTGTATTTTCACAAGTTAGGTAGCTAATTAGAGACCTAAAATACAAAGTATGGGAACAAAAGGCTCATCATTTCTGTCTCCTAAACAGGAATTCTATCATTACCAGGGTGCCAGATCAATTTAAAACTTCTGTTGTTTCTTCCCTTCATAAGTCAAATGCCATCAGGTAAAATCTGACAACAGTGACAATGCACTGCTGACAAAAATTGCAAAATATTGATGCTAGTATCATATTTCCCTTTTTTAAAACCATCAATTTTATACATTTTGAAAACTGGGGGCAATAGTTTGAAAATTTTTAAAGTGCTATCAAATTTGTGAACTGCTATGTATTTGTTTTTTCCAGGCACTGAACAAACAGTTCATTGTTCCAAGTCTGTCTGGGAGCCACTGCTTTGGGGTATTCTATACAATTTCAAAGAACCTTCAGAAGCTCACGGATGCCTTTGAGCATGCAGACCTGGGAGGCAGCACATCTAAACCACAAATTGAGAATGTACTCCATGTACACATGTAAATTAAAACCTACAAAATAACATGTGCATTATAAAATTTGCCCTGTGTTAAAACTGATAACAGCCTTACTGATTTACTGACAATGAAAATATATAGCATTTTTTTCTATCAGAGCATTTATCAACACTTGGCAACCCTGCACTAACTTGACATGTAAGATGATCAAAATGGATTATGTAATCTTTCCCATTCATTTCTATTGATTTTAGTTATGATAAAATTCATCAGTGTGCCTGGGAACACATAGGCAGAAAGGCTTTAGTAGACCAAAAAAAAAAAAAAAAGGAATCCAACTGAGTTGTAATAGGATGAATGTAATTTTGGAATAAGATTGCACAATACAAAAGTCATGCCCTAAAGGCTGCAGTAACAAATTAATACAAATAATTCTGGTGTCTCATAAATTCACATCCGTCTCTGCAGATATTTCACTTTTAGAGATAAAATTATAAAAATCCCAAGTTAAAGGAATGAATATGTGTCATTGAAAATATAGTTTCTGAATATATTTTCAAACTTTCTTTTAAACTTCAACAGTAATCAAAGTTATTTGTCTGACTACAAGTAACATCAAAATGCCAGCAAATGGACCATTTTAATCAGTTTTATTGATTCATGCTTTCAGTTCTTATTCAGTTAAAAACAAGGCACATTAAATACATCCTCTTATTGCTCTATAAATGCATGCAGCTCATTCTGTATATCAAAAGTAATAAATAATGGTGATAAAACACCAAGACAGTTATAAAAATGACAACCCAGCCTCAAACATAGTATTTAACAGTCCAATCTAGAACAATAACCCAACACAATACATAAAAGTGCCACATACACAAACATGCAGTGTGCATATCTACTCCACACTGGGCTTATACTTGATATTCATTGAAAACACAGTAGGGCTTTTTTATTTCCTACAAAAAGCAGACATAATGCAACACAGTGCAAGTTATAGCATCACTGACTTCAATATGATTACATTCATATGCCAAAAATTTTTACAAATGCATAAAAAGAAAAATAAAATCCCCAATGATCCTTACAGTATTTTTAGTAAAAGAATGAAATTGTTGTACAAAACAGGAAGCTACATATTTTGAAGCAAATAAACAAACAAACAAAAAATGCCAGAAACTAAGGCACAATAGGAAGCATGCATTTAATAGTAGAAATCCTAAAGTTACAGTCAGTATAAATTGATTGAAAGCAAGAAAACAGCAGCAGGATGGATCTGAGGGAGACAACCTTGGCTTAACTAATCATCCAACATTATTACTACTGCGATGACAGAGGTGGGGGCCATTTAAAGGAACTTCAACTCTCCAGCACAGACGGGGGTTCCTTTACCTCAGTCCCCCCTGAAAGACTCCAGTAATAAATCACTTGACCATAAAAGGCAATCCCTGCATACACAGCCCAACACTCCAACAGAACCAACTAGTATCATGTTTAGGCGAGAAGAAAAAAATTATTTTGTGCTTGGTATAAGTTTTAAAGGGGTTTAATCCCCTATTTCTTTATCCTTTTTTTTATATCAGGTAAAATGACTATACAGGTTTAATGAAAAATTTACACAAAAATGCTGGGGTGTTCTATCCACAGTAATGGCTTTAAATCAGTTCATTTCCAAAACGAGTCTGTGGGATTGGTGAAGGAGCGAATGCTTTTTAGAATTAGCAGATTTTAAGCAAAAGCAGATATGTTCAAGTGAAGAAAAGTACACTTTTCTTTGTCCTTAAAGGAACTTCATTCACAGCAAAGCGTGCACAAACGAGGCCTGTTTAACAAACACAGATCTGCCAGAGCCAGTCATTCTAAGCCTGTCCCTACTGTAACAGAATCAGGGAGGATACAAGTCATCGTTATCTTGATCTAACTAGAAAAAGAGAGAGAAAGAGAGAAAGAACAAATGTACAATATTGTGATATATCATCTGGAGTGATAAAGGACAGCTTTTATACCTATTTAGTAACACTGGGTTCTAAACAGTGAAATTTATTGTGTAGATAAAAAAACATTCCAGTTGCAAAACCATAAGCTTCCATTTATTAAAAGAGAAAAAATCCAGTGTAAAGAATTCACACTTTGAAAGAAAATAAAATTCACAGTGACACCTGGGAGCATCACTCACTCTGTTTTAGGTTTTCCTTTAGGAAGTGGTTAAGATCTAAACTTCATGTTAAAATAAAATGAGTGAAGATGCTGTCTCTCCCTGCGACTGATGTTCGTTTCAGAGGGTGTGGGTGGAGGCTCAGGTGAGTGAACCTCCCAGTTCATATTATGATATACAGGCTCATAACCCACATGAATGAGGCATAGAGATATTCTATAATGTTGACATAAATGGAAATAATAACACAAAAGTGTTTTATGTACCAGTTCAAGAAACTAGGACCTCAAGTCCAGGCAATGACAGCCTGTGGTGAAATAATAGGAAATACATTTCCTATTACACTCAAAACCTGATCTTAAAAAAAAAAAAAAAAAAAAAAAAAGTAGGTAGTGTCAAAAATCAAAAGAGGAAGCTCAATTAATACTGATGACTAGTTAAAAATGCCAACAAAACTATAGCAAAAGCATCCAAACTGGCATTTTTCATTTTTTCATTTAGTGCATTATTTGTTATATTCATTGCACACTGATTTTTGTTTTTGCTGTGTATATGTGTGCATTTGGTATGGTTTTCATTTTGTTTTTATCATTTTTGGTAAACTGATAATTTTTTCATTGAGTGCAGAAACATAAGGATTTTAAACAAGATTGACCTTGGATACTGAAGTGTATTTCCTTATTTTACATATAATTATATTAACTAATGATTATTTATCCTCTTACTATGGATTGCAGATACCCATTAGAAAAAAAGTCCAGGTTTGACAATATCCCCTATTTCAAAATTTAGGATTTGGGGATTGAAACTAGTGTTCTATATGAATTTATAAAGAAACATCTTTAACCATTAAATGTATTACTACGATAAAGATTGGAGAGATTTGGTCCCATACCATTACATACAATTTGCCACTTACATGCTGGTTTTAAAGTTAAAACAAAACAAAACAAAAAACAAGGATCTTCCTGGCACCCATAATAGTCAGAGAAAACCAGCAGTGACTAGGTAGAAAAAATGAACTGCTGAGATGAAACTATCACTATAACTCCCAGCAAATGTCAATGCTATCCTTATCTTACACCTGCAATTCCAGCACCTTTCATAGTTTCTCTTAACCAGATCTAAACTTTTTTTTCCCTCTCCAGTTTGGCCAACTGTGCTTGAGATATAATATTGTGTAGCATTGTTTGGAAGAGAAAGGTAGTCAGATTGGAGGAGGAGGAGTTGAGAAGTCTCCATAAATACCATCATTTGAACAGGTCACTCTCTTTAAGAACAAAAATGCTATCCACAAGCTTAAGGTCCACAGCTTTGTGTGTGTCACAAATTTTTTCCAGCTTCTCTTTTCCATTTCTACCTCTAGAACTGCTGTAAAATAAATTAATAAACAAAAAAGGAGAGTGTTATGCCTAACAGATCACAAAATGAGTGCAAAACATTAATCAATGTGCATTGAAAATGAGAAAATACACTTTTTAGAAGTTAGATTGAATGGCAGATGCAAATAAAATATTGGCAAATTAAGTTGGCAAATAGACCAGCATTCTGAAGTTTTGGAATGTTTTCCAGTGTTAAAAAAGGCAACTATCACAGCCATTGTTTTATAATGGTTGAAGTCATCTCTGGCTGTTACATGGTGATTTGTTGCTCTTATGTTTATAGGCTGTAGATTTACAAAACAAAATAAAAAACAAGGATCTCACAATCCTCCACAGCTACGGTCCACTGGAATCGGAACTCGTCGCTCCAGGTTCTCTTCTGCCGTTTTCATTAGTATAGCAAGGCGGCTTCCTGACACCCTTCCTTTCTGAATAGCACTCATAAGCTTAAAGAGAAAATACGCAACGGATTCAGAAGGCAGGACAGACAATTCCTCTCAGCATTTTAATGGTTACCATTGGGCAGGCAGAGGTAACTAAGTGCTCCATCAAAAGCCATAGCAAGTACTACAGCTCAGACAAGAGCACAATTTTTGAACACTTCAAAAAGAGAAGGGGCAGGTATTTCACCACTGCTGCAAAAACAACATCTACTTAGAAAATCAGCCTCCCTTTAAAAGCAGATTTAATGTGTACTTTTTGTCCCTTAATGTGTTCTGGGCATACTTTTTTTAAAAAAAGCAACTTCAAATATTGGATCTTTAATTCCATTTAAAAATCTTAAAAAGAAATCTCAGGGATTGAGCAAAGACAATGCATGACCTGTATTTAACTATCCTTTTTTTAGTGTTACTGTACTTGACAACTTCAAGTCCCCTAAATCCAAATTCCTTAAAGACTTTTAAAGTAATTTACATTTAAGTCCTTGGGAGTAGACCCAGAGATCTACCCTAAGAATTAAAAGCACTCCACAGCCCAGATTTTACCTAATTCATTTTTATCCAATGGATAAAATCAGAATTAGTCTTGAAATTACATGCAGTCAGCGGGCAAAGGCCTTTAATCGGGAAAGCACCTTGCAATTATGAGCATGTGGATTTTTTTTTCCATTTCACATTGATGTGGTTTTAACTATTGCCTTTCTTGATCTCATTTCTCCAGTCTTTTTTATTTATTTACTTTAAAAAGAACAGAGGTAGCCATTCATCAGAAAAAAAAATATGTATAAAAATTCTTAAAATATGTTTAGGATTATGGCTTTTAGCCTATAAAGATACATTTCTTAAAATCAGCTCTGCATACGAGTCAGAGGCATCTGCCAAGGGGCTGGATCAGAATTTCATGACCTTATTAAAAGCTGTTTCACAAGTGATTGCTTATTAGAGATGGACTCCTACATGCAGAAGTGTCATTAAAGCCCAAATCTGGAAATAAAGTCATGTAACCAGGCAGTATCTATAGTGACCCTTCTGTGAAGATGATTAAAAAACTATATCTATATTCAAAAATAGATGTCTATGGGATGAATGTGGGCCCTTAATCTTCAGAAAAGGAAAATGTTCTATTAAAACAAACAAACAAATCTGAAAACACACTTTACATCTGGGGAATAATAATGTAATAATATAAGAAATGCTGACCTCTAAAGACAGAGCAATTATTGTTTATTGTTTTGTCTCTGATTCCAGGAAGACCTTCAAAGTTTAGCAGAACTAACAAAACTGACAGAGCAAGAGTTTCTTCCAGCCATAAATAGTATAGCATGCACCAACCTCAAAAACTTAAGGGTTTCTTTAAATGTCACTTGTTTCTAAAAATCATATTATAAGAAAAAATTCATATTTGGGTGTGAATACATTTCATGAGATATATGATCAGCATTTTAAAGTTGAATACTATACTGTATATTTGTACTAACTGGAAGCATGAATAGCCTCTTTCATTTAGAATTGGACAAGAAATAATTATTAAATTCTACAAGAAAACCTGCAGGTGGTTTAAATTATTTTCTGGGTTTTAACTCTCTTTGTTCAAGAAAATTACTTAAAACCCAAACCATATAGCATATCCATAAAATTATATTCTTATTATTTCAAAAACCCCAGGTTTTTCAACCCCAAATGCTGTTGTTTATTTACAATACATATGAAATGAAGCATAAGTTATTTCTTTGAAGACAAGTTTTCTAAAATTCTGAGACAAACAATAAAACATTCTCCAGGAAAACTAAATGCATCAAATGGTTTCCAATTCCCAAGCATAAATTTTAAATTCAATTTAAAATATGCATTTAGTTCAACAGTAAGCTAAACATTCTTTTTTGTAATGCCGGACACAACCTGTGAAAATTTTCTGCATTTAGATTCAACAATGCTCTTATCTGCAGCTCATCTCCAGAGAGACAATTACCATTTCCTTTGCCTTGATCTTGTTTGTTTAACTTGACACAGTGAAGAAAGGGCTGACACTGACCAAAATCCCCAGCATTAATTTATTTCATGTTCAGCATTCATCATTGCCATGCTGCAAGCAGGACCTGGCATTCATTTGAAATACCTGCCCAACAAGCACCACAGACAAAACCTAGCTGCTTGGAAACCAATACATCCTTCACATAATCAGAGTTATATGGACAGCTAAAAACGTGGGGTCGGGGGAGAGGCTGTTGAATTTCTTTCTGTAAGGAACTTCTACGGAATAACGTATAGCATCCAGTTTAAAGTTAAAGCAATAAAATTAATTTCCTTGATGGTTACAAAAATTAAACAATCAAAACTTAAATGAGTTAAAAATCAGAAATGGAAATGCTTAAATTGTACATAGTCTTGACCCCTTTTGGCTTTTTTGGTTCTTTATAATGCAATAATCTAATCATCGCATTCCCAAGTGAATATGGTTCTTAAATAAATATAGCTATCATTTTTAAACTTCTTCTATTAAAAAATTCTTTCCACATTAGAAATATTTTGCTGCCTCTCTTGACGAAGGTAGAACATGGTCCAGCAGTGACATTGCATACCACACTTCTCTAAAACGCAAGCTTCTTATTCAATCCTCTAAGCCATAATTAACTTAAATTTCACCTAAACTGTCCAGTGTAACAGAAGGTTTCTTATGAAAAGAAAAAAAAAAATATGCTCCAAGAAGAGTCTCATCTGTGGGCAAACATCAACCTTTGTTGGCTTCAAGCTTTCTTCCTTCTCAGAATGAAGTGACAAATGTGTGGATTTAAGAATTTATTCTTCAACATCCATTTAAGATAATGACAGCCAGAAGATAAAAGCAAATACATCTGTTTCCTTTCACCACAACTCACCTGTAAAAATTCATTGAGTTCAACCTGTCCGTTTTTGTTTAAATCTACTTCATTCAGAATCTCATGTAGTGTATTTTCATCCATTTGCACATTGATACTCTAAGGAAAAAGAAAAGCACAGAATAATGAAGTTTAATTAAAAATTATTCATATCCTCTTTCTAATATGGCAAGCTTTCAAAATAAAAATAAAAATATTACTTGTAGAAAACACTAGATGAGAAAAAAATTGTCTCATATCATCTTTTATTCTTCTGCTATCTAAGATTGATATTGAATAATAACAAAAAGTTACCTCTAATACACGCTGAACATCAACAATGGTAATAAAGCCTTTTTGGTCTGCATCAAACTTATGAAATCTCTTCTTGTACCTGGAACACAACATGGGATAATGGGAAAATATACTTACACAGGAAAAGAATAAAAAGAAAAGATAGAAGCTTATTAGAAGTACCTGTCAATGTCTGAAGGCAATAGGCTAATTTCAGTGCGATCTGTTAACTGTTCAGATCGGGATTTATAGCCCATTTCATAATATAGGAACTTCTTAGCTGTTTCAAGTTCTTCCTAAAAGAGACACACAATGTTCAAAGAGTTACAGAAAGAATTATTGATTTTTTTATCCTTTCCTCGTTCAGTCTTCAGATAGGAAGTTGATCCTCACTTACCTGACTGTATACTTCTTTTCTTTCTTCCATTTATATTGAAGTATAATTCATATTCAATAAAACATACCTTTTAGATATGCAATTTGATATACACTCTAACATAATCAAGATACAGAACATTTCTACTGCCCTGTAAAATTTCCTCATGTTCATTTGCAATTGATTCCTTCCCCTGACCTCGGGCCCTAGGCATCTCCTGATCTGCTTATGGTCATCAGACTTTGTCTTTTCTGGAATTTCATATAGAACATAGTCTTCTGTGTTTGGCTGCTCTCACATAGTATAATGATTCATATTGCTACATGCAATTTGCTTTTTTCTCTGCTTTTTCTTTTTTTAATTTAAGAGTATTCTTGCATAGAATTGACCAGCAAATGCTACTGGACCAGATTTGTGTAATTTGGTTAAAAAAAAAAACCAAACAATTAAAAGTGAAGATCTGAACTACTATTAGTACTACTACTACTGCTACTACTACTACAGTAAGGCTGTCAGTGCCCAGGCAGATATCCTGGGATTAGATATGTCAAAATGATATGGCCTTCATTCTGATAGTTTCAGACTCAAGAAGAAATGCTATCCTTAGTAGTTATACTGTTTCAATGTCCCCAATCTTAACTGATACTGCATTACTATGAAAATACCATCACTAATGCTTCCTCTCCAACAACAACCTTTTCTTAAATTCTTTTTTCCTTCATGGTATCCACCCTTTCATTGCACTTGTCTTCCATGTAATTTGATAAAAAGAACAAACAATTAAAAGTGAAGATCTGAACTACTACTACTACTACTACTACTGCTGCTGCTGCTACAACAACAGTAAGGCTGCCAGTGCCCAGGCAGCCTTACTGTAGTAGCAATTTGGTGTTTATCAGCTGGCTTGGTCCAGAGACATTTCACTTACTTCTTTACTCAATGAACCTTTTTCTCCTCTTTGGAATCAACTTTGAAAAGGTGTTTTTTTTTTTTTTTAAAGACTAATCTACTTAGGCAATCTTCACTTTAAAGTTTCTCAATGAAAAAATGTATCTCCTGTCTGAATGGTATAAACTCTTACCAAATCCTACCAGAAAACATTTCCCAAAATATGTCCTAAGCAATACTAACCCCCTTCCTGCTCATCCCACTCATAAAGTGAGAGTTGGATCTGATTACAAATAAATTCTCTTTTGGAAACTGACACTCCACATAAGCATTGTAAAAATTCCAATAATCTAAATTAAATGAAACACTTTCCATTATTTATTTAACTCAGAATTTCCCAAATTCTTTTGTTCTTGCAGTCATCTTTTCATATTTATTCATTTATATCCCATGGTCACAATTTGGCAATGTTGCTTTATCTAAATGTCCCTGCTGACTCCTCTATCAATCCCAAACTCACCAGAGAAGGCCTTCCCCCCCTAGTCAGCTCTTCCTAGTAGGTTGGGTTTTGGTCTTGAGCAACAGTAAATCTAAATATTTCTCTAAATGTTGAAAATATCACACATATTTTTGACATATATATGTGTTGTACCTACCTCATTAGATTTCAAGATACTTGAAACTACGAGCTATTTATTATTCCCCTAAAATATTTGGTTCAGCATACAAGTCACTCATTAAGTATTGAATGGTAAAAACAACCACAATTCATCTACAGAGAGTTATTTATCACCTTGTTCCTCTTTCACTTGTGCAGGTTAAATAATCCCAATGCTTTTAACCTTTTCTCGGAAGTCCAACTTTCTAACCTTTTCTTTTTTTCTTTTTTTTTCCCTCCTTTGTTCTCTCTAGACTATGCACAATTCTCATGAATACTCCTATGTCTCAGATACTAAATTATATCTTTTAGGTCTTTTATTTTTGTTACTTTCTTAGGGGGGAAAGAAGAGCATTTCTAGGCATATGATTTGGCTCATAACATTTGAAATGAAGTTAAATGTAGTTCCCCAGGAAGGCCAAAGACAACCAGTTTACAGAATTTTCCTCCTCCTTCCTACATCCTACCACCTGAATTCCTAGAACTAAATATGTTCTTGCATATTTAAATCATTACAGCCGTAAGTTTTATAAGAACACATAAGAGTAAGTTTCACAAAAGTAAGCAGCACAAGAGTAAGTTTCATTCTTGTTTTGACTCTTTATAGAGCCTTAGCTGTTCAAACAACACACAAAATTGGAAGAGGTGTACACCAATTTGGCTAAAGCAGAGGTAACAGGGCATAGTAGGGAAAGCTTAGGTTGGGATCAGAGTACCAGGTTTCAGTCCCATTTCCACAGCTTACTGCTTGTGTGAACTCTGACAGGCATTTGCTCTGTGAGCCTGTTTCCTCAACCATAAAATGGGGTTACAGGTTTTCCCGCAGAGCAGCATGGTCAGGACTGAGGCATTGTTTCACTAGTGACTTCTGTCATCCGAACACTACAGCACATTACATTAAAATCACTATAAGGATTTTTAAAAAAATATTGGGCCATGTTCTCACCTATGAAAACTTTGAGTTTGATGGTCTGATGGCAAACCTTGAAATCTGCCCCCCCCCCCATTTCCCTAGTGACTCTGATTTGTAACCATGTTTGACAATCTACACTTAAAGGACAGGACACATACCCTATCCTTACTTGCACACTCAGCATATGACATGGGTGCTAATTATATCCATTTGAGAATATAGCAAGAAAGTGTCTGTCTCTGAGCCTGGAATTGGGCCCTACCAGACCCCAAAATGACTAGTGCCTTCCTAACACTAATCCATGGTATTTCTCTTATAGAATCCCAAACAGATTAAGTTATCCTCTGGGTCACAACTCCCTTTCAGTCTTTTCACACACCCTCAGATTCGCTAGCTATTACTTTCTCTCCTTCTACTGGATTTTTCCTTGTCTCTCCAACCCCTCAACTTTAGAATGCTCCGGGGCTCAGTCTTTGGGCCACTTTCATCATCTAACTACACTAACTCCCTCCATGGTCCTATCAAATGGCTTAAAAACTAATTTAAATTTATATCTTCAATTCTGCTCTCCCTCTAAATTTCAAACTGACATATCCAATGACATGGATTTTGTTTTAATAGAATCACCAAAGTTATTAAAGCAGAGAGACCAGTTTGGGGGAGGGAAGAAACTACAATAATTCATCTGAGAGATGCCAGGACTTGAATCAGGGTGACAGCAGTCGAATGTGTTAAGAAAGGGTGAAACTGAACCACTATTTGAAGATAACAAATATGATAATAATGTTTGCTGATGGATTTAGAGAGTGCAAGAGAATACACAGAGTATGATATTAAGATTAAAGACTAAGCAACTGAAGGTAGAAGGGCTATTCATGATATGGAGAGATCTGTGGAAGCAGGATGTGGAGAAGGCAGAAGGTGAGCCAAGAGAACTGGCCTCCCAGAATGTAAGAAAATCATTCAAGAAGGAGGGAAAAATAAACTGTGTCAAATGCTTTTAATTGGTGAAGTCAAATGAGGACCAAGAGTGGATAAGTATGTTCAGCAATGTGGAAGATACTGCTGAGCTTGGCCAGGGTTGATACAGCAAAGTGGTGAGGACAAAGCCTAAAGGAAATGGATTCAAGTGAGACAAGGGGAAGGATACTGAGGCCAGTGAATATAGAAGGTAATTTTTGATATGCCTGGGCATATCACAAAAGTGTGGGTTAATTTAAAAACACAAAGATCTTCTTTTTATTATAGCAAGCCCACTTACACACATCCATACACATGCACACATACGTGTGTATAAAAACATGAATCTGAGCATCACTGGCTTTTTAGAACGTGGATGTAAACACAAACTCTCAAATGACACAAATGATAAGCACTTAGTCATCAGGCAGTGAGACTGCTATTTCTAACCACATGAAAATTAGCAGGAGTAGGAATTTCACTGAATACATCCTGAGAGTAGTTTCAATGAAAACTAGAAAAGGTTCTATTCCACAATCTTCAAATCTTTCCTTTCCAGAAAATATGAGCATAAAATAAAGGGGATTCTCTATATTTTTCATAAACAACAAAATTTGGTTTTAGACTATCTTTCCATTTTCCATATATTCACATATACATATTGGCTGGAAATCGAAGATCACCATCAAAAATTATGCTATCTTCTCCAAACAGATTAAGCTGTCACAGGTTTTTAAGGGGAACAGTAGTTTTCAACGTTGATAGAATACCTCTTTCTTATGGTCATCCCAGTTCAGTTCTCGACCCATCAGTTCAACAATCCTGGGTAGGGCTTCCTCTGCGGCCTGGACATTGAGAAAGGCCAGGCGAGTGCGCCGTGAAATCATATCCACCGCCGTGCAGGCATACTCCTTAATCCCATATTTCACCTGCATTCAGGAAAAAGTATAGTTAGGCATTTCTTTATAAAAGAGTAAAGTTTCACTTAAAAAAATTTGTGCTTTGAAAGGTAACCCTTTTTCCTACACTCTGGTTTCTCCAGGAATCATGAGACTAATGGTGATTCGACACAAGTCCTCCATCTGGCTGCCAAAGGAGGTTTGGAAAATGGGATAAATTGGACAAGAGTTAATGCCTTCGTTGTGAACAGAACCTAGCATAAACATGCAAATTGCATCACTACTCATTAACCATCCACAGTAATCACTTACTTCTCTTTGCCTATACATTATGGGGAAGTTAATTTACATAGCTGAATAGGCAAAGGATGAGCATTAGGAAAGTTATGGTCTCGTCTCTCTAGGCTGCAAAGTTTTCTGTCTTAGACTAACTAGATGGCAGAAGCCTTGAATTCAATCAAGTGCATGCTTACTGGACACCAGTGTCTCAAGGCAGTGAATTAGGAATAAAAATAAAGCATGGTCTCTGCTTTCATAAAACTTGAAAACATGATGAGAAACTAGACTTAAATCTTTGAGAAAATGTCAAAGCCAGCATGTCATCTGGCAAGACAGGAGTGGTACAATCTTGAAGAGCTACAAATTCACAAAAGGGACGACTTGAGATAGCTTCATCAAGCAAAAAAGAAATCCACATTTTATATTAAAGCCACTATCAACATCACTTCAGAATTTACATTTTCTTAATGAAAGAATCTGAACTGAGCAGACAGACATTTTACTCCAGGTTTTAGCTGAAACATCCACATTAAAATAACTGCATATGATTTTTAAAGATAATAAAGAATGAACAGATGAATGGCATCCTCTGGTAGAAAAGAAAAGCCACATGACAATTTACATACCTCTGCTTCAATATATGGAAATTCTGATACAAGTCGCACTCCAACAATAGGCCACCTTTTTCCGGTCACACTTGCCATTTTGGCCACCTCAAAAGCCTTGTCTCCGTAGGTGGCAGCAAGATGCTGTGCCACCTAGAGAAATAAAACTACATTAGGCAGGCACTTTGACTATTGATAACTTTCAGATACAAAGAAAAAAAGAAGTACATGCTCATCTTGTCAGTTTTCTTATAGCCTGTAACTAATAGTTCTCGGAGAGTATTAGGTTTTGGTTTTGTGGGAGGAAACCACTTGAGCTTCTAATGCTTAGACCAGCACTAACTGAGCTACTCATGCATCACTGTATCGATGACGGATGAAGCTTCAACTTCATTCTGCTCCTGATATCACTTCTGAAGAACAGCTTTGGATGAAAGAATTTGGGAGGCTCTCTATGCTAGGAACAAACCAAATGAACTCCAGGTTTCAAAACAGAAGCTAAAATGTACATTGTTTTCTAGGCAACTGTAGGAAAGTGGAACCATCTTTTTTCTTAGATTACTTTTGCAGTACAGAGAGAATCATATCCAGGGAAAGGAAAACTGTAAAGCAGAGAGGCCACATCATAGTTGCAGATTATGTTACTGGCAATAGTAGGAGGTGAGGTAAAGGATAAAGACGTGGCAATGCATACTCACCTCACTTTCAAGTCCATAATCCTGGACAAGCCTAATGTAGAGTGTGGGGCTCCAATCTTTCCCTCCTTGAAGGAAAAGTCCAACTGTTCTACTTGGTCCTGCTTTCAAATTGTGGATCTTGATAGCAGCATTCACAGTATCTTCTGCCATGGATCGATATGTTGTCCACTTTCCACCTACAAAGAAGTTCATAAAAAATTTATGATAGTTTCCACCTTTATTTTTCTTATTAACAATTTATCAACATATTAATAACAAAATCTACCATTTTTTAGAACATACGTGGCAAAGCTATGTGTAAAGACTAATCAGAATCATAAGAAGAAAACACTTGTTCATTAGAGCTAAAAGATAATTTCGTGGAACAATTTAAGTCAAGCTTTTATTTAAATCATATCCAAATAACAAAGCAATGTCCCATACCTGCTATGGTGATAAGGCCACTCTCACTGATGTCCACAACGTGATTGCGGGAGATGGACTGGGTGTCTTCGGACTTGGGATCTGTCACGAGGGGGCGGATACCGCTCCATGCTGCCAGGACATCCCCTCTTCTCACTGGTAGGGATTGATACTATAGGTTACTCAAAAACATTTCTACTAAAGTATGAAGTAATTAACAGGTAGAAAAATATTCAGCAAATGGCACATATGGGGGTACACTTTAAAAGGGAGGAAAAAAGCCCTAAATGTAGAAATTATAATATTGGACCAGTGCAATAAAAACTCAGAAAGAATTAATTATTTTGTTACTAGGATAATTTAACTTAAAACCAAAACCAAATAAAACCAAAAAGGTAAATAACAACAACAACAACAAAATTATTAGGAACCCTCTATCTAGGGCAACCTAGAGCAGTTAAAGGGGTTAAAAAAAAAAGTAGAAAAAAACAAAAAAATTCAAGAGACTTATGAATTGTTAAATTTCCTACTACAATACATTTTGCTGTCTCTTCTTAGAGAAGACAAAGATGCTTATTAAATTAAACAAACAAGCATATAACAGGATATTTTCTTCTCTCATCAATACCACTCACTGAGAATTTACAGCAGACCCAGCACTCAGAAAAATACCTGAAATACACATCTCATCTTATTAATCTCAAAAAGCCCCACAGCACAGGGTATTACTATTCTCACCATACAGAATGCAAAGTTTAGCCAACCAAATATGGCAACCAATGTGAGCAAGGCAAACATCAGAACCTAGATCTTTCTGATTTTTAAAGTCCATATTCGTACCCACTCAACTGTACTGTCTCAATTGCTGACAAATTTCAAAACTCTACCCTTATTTTATTCATCCTGTTTTCTTTATAACTGATACAGAAATAGCTATATTGGCTTCTCCCAGTATAGACAGAGTACTTGCATTACCACATACGTAAGTTCTTTCAGCAATCAACATGTCATAAAATCACCCCTAGTACCTCTGTAAATACAATGTATGATACCAAGAATTGAGGGACATTAGATTAAAATTAGACAGCCGCTGAATAGCAAGCATTTCTAACCTAAAAAATGGCTGAGGAGAATAGATCAACTGTGGTCTGGTCTACCAGCAGGGCAGGGGCAAGACCCAAAGGCAGGGTTTTCAGAATCTACCCTTCTACATCTAGATTATCTTCAGGGATTGCTCAGCTCTTTTTCCTTCTACAGCAAGGATGCGACTCTACATGCACCAACCCAAAAACTGCTTAATGATGTAGACTACAGAAAATTTAACATTTGCCTTGTCCTTCCTACTGCACTTACAATGGTAAATCAGTTAATCCATTTCTGGATAATAGACATTTAAGTACAACTTTGTGTTATCTGTGTGTCTTGGAACTCCTTCTCCAAACTCCTGGCCGTTATCCATATTGATAAAATACCAACTGTAAATACTCTTGAAACTCAAGATTTTAAAACACTGTGAAAACATATATGCAAATTGGTGACGTCAAACTCAACTTTATACCATGTACAAAAATTAACTCAAAATGGATCAAGATCTAAACATAAGAGCAAAACTATAAAACTCTTAAAAGAAACATATGATAATATTTCATGACACTGGATTTAGCAAGAAATGCTGCTTTCTTGGATATGATATCAAAAGTAAAGACAGCAAAAGAAAAAAAATATATAAAAAGACTTTGTCAAGGGCTGGGGTTGTGGCTTAGTGGTACAGTGCTTGCCTGTCATGTGTGAGGCACTGGGTTCAATTCTCAATACCCCATATAAATAATTTTTTTTTTTTTTTAAAAAAAGGTCCATTGGGCTGGGGATGTGGCTCAAGTGGTAGCGCGCTCGCCTGGCGTGCGTGCGGCCCGGGTTCCATCCTCAGCACCACATGCAAACAAAGATGTTGTGTCCGCCTAAAACTAAAATAAATAAATAAATAAAAAAAAAGGTCCATTGATATAACATACACAAACATATATATTAAAAATCTTTGTCAAAATTAAAAACTTTGGTGTATCAAAGGTACTATTAACAGAATGAGAAGGCACCCCACATAATTAGAAAATATTTGCAAATTATATATCTGAAAATAGTCTAATATAAAGAATATATAAGGAAGTCCTGAAACTCATAAGAACCTAAACTAAAAAATGGTGAAAAAAGTGGAGTTGACATTTCTCCAAAGAAGATATACCAATGTTCAACAAGCATATGAAAAGATACTCAACATTACTAATCATTAGGAAAATGCAAATAAAAATCATATACCATTTCACACTCATTAGAATGATTATCAAACACAAGCAAAAAACAAAAATAAAAAAATAATTATTGGTGAGGATAGGGAGAAATTAGAAAACCTGTACACTGCTGGTGAAAAGTAAAATATCATAGCTGCTACAAAAAATGTATGTCGATTCCCCCCAAAAATAAAACTTTTAAAATTACCACATGATCTAGCAATTATACTTCTGCACACCCATGTTCAATAGCACTATTCACAAAAGCCAAAGGGTAGAAGCAAACCAAGGTTCCATCAACAGATAAATAAAATGTGGTACACACAATGGAATATTGTTCATCCTTAAAAAGGAAAACAATTCAACCACATGCAGCAAAATGGATGAACCTTGAAGACGTGATGTTCAATAAATAAGCCAATCATAACAGGACAAATATTGCATAATCCCACTTATACAAAGTACTTCAGAGTGCTTGAACTCACAGAGGAAGCAGGTAGAATGGTGGCAAGTTAAACTTATTTTATGTATGTATAATATTTCAAAATATACTATCATGTTAATTTTTTTTTTTATTTCAAAAAAAAAAAGAATAGTGGCTTCTTTTTTTGAACCAGGAAGTGGAGCAGGGTAATGGGGCATTAGTGTTTGAAGGGTACAGAATTTCAGGTCAGGAAGATGAAAAAAAAATCTAGAAATGGATGATGGTGATAGCTGTACAGCAATGTGGATGCCCTTAATGCTAGAGAACCATACCCTAAAAATGGTTAAAATGGTAAATATTATGTTCTATAGATTTAACCACAATTTAAAACTGAAGTCAAAGGATAAGTTGATGCAATTCAATTTCAAGTATGAGAAAGTTAAAAAAATAAAAATAAAAAAGTTTACCTAAGTATCAGGACCTCTACAAGCCTACATAATGGTCATGTCTTAGTTCAAATTAATAAATGCCTTGCAGGGAGCATAGATTTGTGAGCAGAGGGTGGCTGGATTGGAAGTCCTTCTTCCCCCTTGGCCATGCACCCTTGCACAGTAAACACTCTTAGTTTCTATACACAGCACAACCTGAAAAGCAGTTAGGTTTATATCCACTAGACTCTGTTTAAAGAGTCACAAAGATTCCTTGAAATGATTGGGATAGTCCTAAAACTAAATGTACCTTTCTGGAGAAAGGCTCTAGAAACAAGTTATACTGAATGACAGACAATCTCCTCATCTGAACATCCAATAAAAATAGTAAAACAAACTAGTAAAGAAAACCAAAGTAAATCCAGCATATTTTAATGTAGTTATTTTAGGGCTATACCCTTAAAATGACTGTCAGCTGAAGGACAAGGTGCCCACACACCACTTCAGGAATGTTTAATCAATCCCATAGCCAACACTGAAACTGAAACAAGGGAAGAAAGGACAGAATCAACTGGTTAGGCTTCCCAGTCTTGTTAACTGGGGACCATAAAGCATGCCCATGCATTCTCTACAAGAGCTTTAATTCTAACAGCTTCTATGGACTAGGAGTTAATTCCTGCTTTATGTAACTCTGTAAGTCTTTAAAAACCTCAACAAAAATAGTGCAAAGTATTTTAAAATCTTTACAAAAAAAAAAAAAAACTAAGTAGGAAATTACTACTATTTTCCATTAGAGTTCACATCCCCTTCTGAGTCAAACATAAAACTTAGCCAACCCACTTACAACGTCATTGTGGTCACCACACAGTCCCCTCAATGTCTGTGAAATTCCTGAGGTAGCCACCCTGATCAGGAATTTGGTTTCAACTCTTGAATTCCTCTGACTAATTTTTAGATTATTTGATGGAAAATTAAGACCTTCCAGAATAAATTTGAAGCTTATGCAAATAATCTGTGGTAAATTGCTTTACCTTTTCTATTTTAACAGGCAGACAAACACATTTACATATTTGTATTATCTGAAAGAAGAACGATATATTCACATTTTTCATTCATAAAGGAAAAAGAAATAAAACATTAAATATACTGATTCCATTTTATTTATTTATTTTTTAATTTTTTAGATTGCATATGCTTTTTTAAAATTTTTTTTTAGTTGTCGATGGACCTTTATTTAATTAATTTACTTATATGTGGCGCTAAGAATCGAACCCAATGCCTCACACATACTAGGCAAGCACTCTACCACTGAGCCACAACTCTAGCCCCCTGATTCCATTTTAAGTCCTTATTTCTGAAGTTGACCCCCAAAGAAAACAAACCAACCACTACTAGAAAGAGTTCACAAATGTGTTAAAAACTACATTTTGCTTGAGATCTTAGCATTCAGTTCTTTAGTCTGAGAATCATACCAGATGAGTGTTGGGATTACCTTTACTCAAAAAGATGCATTTTAAGGATAATAAAATTTTATTTAAAATATTAATCAGTTTTTATGGCCTACTGTTTTATATTATTAGACCAGTAGATAGTTAGAGATCAGGTTATATATCAGTTCCTTCCCAATCTTGAGATTTAACAATTCATATGGATTATTCAAAATGCTATTTGCTGCTGACATTCAAACTTGTACCTCCCCACCACTCCTATTCAGTAATGACTGGTTAGGGCCATAGCTATTATTTAAGGTCATGGGGCCCAGCTAAAAATGTGAAACACTAATTCTAATCCCTTAAATAAAAATAGCAACTATCCAAACTAACAGATTTCTCTCTTTACAGCCTCTTTATCCATAGTGGAAGCCCTATATAGTGTTCAACCTAAATAAAGTTTACTCAAGAAGAGATTCAAAAGCAGTAGACAGGGAAAGAATCATTACTGTATCTTTTAATTCTTCCTGGAGCTGTTGCAGCCATGTTTAACTATGGGGGAAACCTACTTGGAAGTGGTAGAATAAAG